CAGTAAAGGTAATAAAGACAATAAAGACAATAAAGGTAATAAAGACAGTAAAGGTAATACAGACAATAAAGGTAATACAGACAATAAAGGTAATACAGACAATAAAGGCAATACAGATAATAAACGTAATAAAGACAATAAAGGTAATAAAGATAATAAAGGTAATAAAGGTAATAAAGACAATAAAGACAATAAAGGCAATAAAGACAATAAAGGTAATAAAGACAATAAAGGTAATAAAGATAATAAAGGTCCAGAACTACAATGATGTAACACTGACAACTAATACTTTTACTTTTAAACAACAAACCTGTTTTTAATATAAGTGTTGAGGTGGAACGTTAATAAAAAGGATCCAAACACTCGGCTGTAAAACAAAGTGTGTGTAGCATCAGTGTGTGTGTGTGTGTGTGGCGGGGGGGGGGGCATTCCTGTGTGCTGACTGCCACAACACATGGAAACCATTACAGACTGGGAGAGAGACACCAGAGACCAGAGAGAGAGTCTGAGAGCAGAGAAACCTCAAGACCTGACACACATTTTACTGTAGACATGTGACTCTGAGCGGAGGACTCTGAGCGGAGGATTCTGAGCGGAGGATTCTGATCGGAGGATTCTGATCGGAGGATTCTGATCGGAGGATTCTGAGCGGAGGACTCTGATTGGAGGATTCTGATTGGAGGACTCTGATCGCAGGACTCTGATCGGAGGATTCTGAGCGGAGGACTCTGATTGGAGCATTCTGATCGGAGGACTCTGATTGGAGGACTCTGATCGGAGGATTCTGAGCGGAGGATTCTGAGCGGAGGACTCTGAGCGGAGGACTCTGATCGGAGGATTCTGATCGGAGGATTCTGACCGATTCTACCTTCAACCACTGAGGAACGTACACAGACCAACAGCTCTCACTCAGACTCACCTGGATTTAATCTCCTGTCATTGTTTTTCAAGTCTCAAGTCAAGACAAGTAAAAAGTCAAGACTTACAAGTCCTGAGTCAAGTCTCAAGTCAAGTATTTGATGAAATATTAAAGTTCCTTTAACGTCAATCGACTCATGAAAATAACAAATAGAAGACTTTTTAGTTTCTGAGTCTGGTGGAAAGTATCAAGTAGTTTCAAGTTAAAAGACTCAAGTGAAGTGAAGTCAAGCCTTTTGTGAATTAGTCATGTTGACCCGGTTGTGACTCGGTTCTGAATGGAGTCCTCAGGGACCTTGTGGTCTCTGATGTGAACCTGTGAGTCCAGCTTAGGAGGTCTCTCTATCTCTCTGGGTGTTTCTATTAAAGAGGATCTGGACTGAAGTGGATCTGGGTTCATGGTTTCCTCTCTGAGTCTATTTTCAGCAGCTGTTAGTGGAGGCAGAGCAGAGCTCAGCTGTCTGGCCATCAATCAGACCGCCCCCCCCCCCCCCCACCCAGACCTCACAGACCCTCCTGTCTCAGACTCTCTTCATGTTTCCAGGTTTTCATTTCAATCGATGAATAGAAGTTTACTGAAATCTTTATCTGAGAGAAACTTTCAGCACATGTATTAATAAATAACTAAATATGATCCTGAAGACATTTGATTTTCACTTTTGTCTGTTTGAGAAAATAAAAAGAGGAACTTTACTTTAGTACTAAAATACTTTGAGTACTAAAGTAACGAATGAGTACAAAGTAAAAGTAAAACAATAATTAAAATGATTCAAAGCAAGAAGATAAATGTGTCAAAGGTGTGCGGAGGTGAAACCAGATCAGAGGAAACCAGTTCAGTTTCAAACTCACTTCCTAAAAGACTTCACCTTCCTGTTTCCTCAGACACTTTCTGTTTCCTTAAACACTTTCCATTTTCCTAAAAAACACTCCATGCTTCCTTAAATACTTCCTGTTTACTAAAAAACTCTTTCCACTTCCTTAAACACTTCCCTCATCAGAAAACACACTTTTGAAAACACTTCCAGTTTCCTAAAACACTTCCTGTTTCCTATCTTCTCTTCTTCCTGCCCCGTGATGACCAATCTGACTGCTTCTTACTTTTAAAGTAGTTTAATATTAAATGAATGACAACGTAAAGTTAGAGGTTCCTTCAGTCGCAGTAAAAGGATCCACCTCGTCATCATCATCACAATCACCATCATCACCTCATCATCATCATCACCTCATCATCATCACCTCATCATCACCTCATCATCGTCATCATCATCACATCACCATATCATCATCATCACATCATCCTCATCATCACCTCATCATCACCTCATCACCATATCATCATCATCACCATATCACCATCATCATCACCTCATCATCATCACCTCATTATCACCATCATCATCACCATCATGACCACCATCATCATCACCATCATGACCACCATCATCATCACCACAATCATCATATCACCATCATCATCACCATCATCACCATCATCATCACCACAATCATCATATCACCATCATCAACTCATCATCATCACCATCATCATCTCCACCTCATCATCATCATCATGATCTCATCACCACCACCATCATCATCATCATCATCATCACCACCACCATCAACATGACCATATCACCATCATCACCACCACCATCATCATCGTCACCATCATCACCACCATCAACATGACCATATCAC